GGGTCCGGTCCCCAGCGGGTGAGCTCAGCACCTTTCAAAGCCTCCATTAAACCATGTATAAGCTTCATTTGCTTCGTGTCCTTTAATTTGTTTTCGTCGTGGCAACCTTCACGCGACGTAGTTTACCACCTTAATCACCTTCCGTGCGGCGTTCGTCGGCCTTGGTTCCTCCACGCTGCTGTGCAGCCGCCACCAGCACCCTCTCCACGATCCTTTCCATGCTCCCACCCTGACACTGTGTCCCCGTGACACGCTCACGCCCCCTCCGCCTCCCCGGCCTGGCACCAGCACCTACGTCCTGTCTCTGCGACTCCGGCGCATCTAGGGGCCTCGCGGAGGGAATCACAGAGAACTTGTCCCTCTGGGCCTGGCCGCTTTCCCTCGGCACTGCACGCCTGGTCCCCGGGGTGTCCCAGCGCCGTCCTGGAACGGCAGCCCGGTGCCCAGGTCAGCCCGGTGGCCGCGGTCAGCGAGTCGGGGTTCTGACGGCTCCTGGCACGTGTGTACATGGCTCTCCTTCTTGACTCTGAGCGTCATTGGGAAGCGCCCGTGGGGAGGAGGGGGGTCCCCGGTGCGTCCCCGGGGGGGCTGGCCCGGCCTGGTTCTGTCGTCGGGTCACCTGAGCCGACCCAGCCCGTGTTGGTACCGGGGGAGGAGGTCTGTGTCCCCGCCGGATTTCTGCCCCGCGCCCTCCCGCCCAGGCCCCCGCCCAGCCCTGGCTGGACGCCTACATTCCGTCACGTTCCCAGGGCACCGCTGATGTCCGATAGCGCTCCGGACGTCCCTCGGTGCTGGCGGCCACAGCTCCTGAGGTGGACCGGCTGCCAGGGCACAAGCAGGGCATTGTTCCTCGGCCCAGAGCTGCCCTCACCTCTGGCAGTGGCCTCCTGCTGCTGACACACACACCCCTGCAGGTGGGGTCAGGTGGCACTGGGGGCCGAGGCGGCCTCTGGGGCGGGGGGTTGGCATCGTCCCTCCCGCTGCTGCTTCTCTAGAAAACTTCTCTTCCCAGCCTCAGCCTCCCAGCTCTGGGGGGTCTGGGGCTGTCTGATTTGGGGGCCTTGGGATGGAAGCTGGATGGAAGATGGTGTCCGGCCCTGCAGAGGCAGGACTGGGGTTCATCCGGCACCCCAGGCTGTGAGTGCCTCACGGCAGGGACCTGTCTTGGCATATCCGAGGCCCCTGAGCCCCCCCCGCCCCCCCGCACAGGGCAGAGCACACAAAAGCACACTGTTATACGGTTCTTTCTGAAATGAGCACAGTGCAGACACCTGAACAACAGGTGGGTGTAAGTTAGCCTCGAGGGA